AAGTTTGAAGTCTTCCTGTATACTAAGTTAAACACAATTTTGATTTAAACAAATTCTATTTATGAAAAATAGTTGCTAGGCACGATGGCTCAAGCCTGTAATCCCAACACTTTGGGAGGCCAAAGTGGGAAGATTGTTTGAGACCAGTCTGGGCAATATAGCGAAATCTCCTTTCTACAAAAAATTTTAAAAAGTTAGCTGGGTGTGGTGGTGCACATCTGTAGTACCAGCTACTCCGCAAGCTAAGGTGGGAGGATAATTTCTGCCCAGGAGATGGAGGCTGCAGTGAGCTCTGGCCTGGGTGGCTACAAGAGAGTCTGTCTCAAAAAAAAAAAAAAAAAAAGAAAGAAAAAGAAAAGAAGGAAAGTCAGTCATGGTTACTTGTTTTGCATGTTTATTTTTTAGACTTTTAATTTTTTTTTTTTTTTTTTTTTTGAGATGGAGTCTCGCTGTCACCCAGGCTGGAGTGCAATGGTGCAATCTTACCTCACTGCAACCTCCGCCTCCCGGGTTTAAGCGATTCTCCTGCCTCAGTCTCCTGAGTAGCTGGGATTACAGGCGCACACCACCACACCTGCCTACAGACTTTTAATTTTTTAGAGAAGTTTTAGGTACAGCAAATTTTAGCAGAAAGTGCATTGTTTCCATATATTTACTGTGTGTGTTTTTACGTTTTGGCTAGAGGAACTGCCAGGAAAGAGGGTGTAAGTGTAAAGTGAGGGATGTTAATCTCCACAGCCCTCAGCAAAGAAGGAAAGAACTCTGCCCTAAGTCACTCTACATTCTACCACTACCAGGGGCCTAAAAATGGCAGGTGGCTAGAATTAAGAGAGAGTATTGAACTTCTGGTAATTAGCTGGTTAAGGGGCCTGGAAAGAAATTTATGTCCCAGAAAAGAGAAATATTAGTACTCAGTATGAGGTTCTGGTATTGATAATCATGCTCTTGTTGTTTTTTGAGACAGGGTCTCCCTCTGTGGCCAGGCTGGAGTGCAGTAGTGCAATCATAGCTCATGGAAGCCTCTCACACTCAGGCTCAAGCAATCCTCCCACCTCAGCCTCCCAAACAGCTAGAAGTATAGGCACATGCCAGCATGCTCAGCTAATTTTTATTTAATTTTTTTGTTCAGATGAGGTCTCACTATATTGCCCAGGCTGGTCTCCAACTCCTGGCTTCAAGCAATCCTCCTGCCTCAGCCTCCCAAAGTGCTGGGATGACAGGTATGGGACACTGTATCCAGCTGATTTTTTTTTTTTTTTTTTTACTGTTATATTTACTTTATGGCTCTGTAAATAAGCTTAGGTGAAGATGATAAGTATTTACAGAATGGTCAGGTTTGCAGGATGCAACATGCATGTAAAAACCTAAGATGCAATAAACATACAAAAAGAGTCAGCTCACTAGTAATCAAGAGAAATGCAAAATAAAATAAAGAGAAACCATTTCACAACCATCAGACTGGCAAAGGTTTCAAGTCTCTTATTAAGTGGTGAAAGGCAATGTAGAAACAAGCTGTTGATGATGAAATACAACCAGAACGAACCAGTAGTAGAGTAGAAAATATGTACGCTCCAAACCAGAGCTTCCGCTTCTAGATATATACCATGGAGAGATACACACTGGGGCTACAGAAGTAATATATAGTAATATATGACATGGAAATTGCCTATTATAAAAAGTTTAAACAGACCAAAAAAAAAAGGCAAAAAATTAGGAAACGGCCAAATGTCTACCAACAGGGGAATGGATAAACTTGCATAGTCATACAAAAGAACGCAATTCAGCAGTTGAAGAATCAAAGCTACAAATACACCCAAAAGCTGCCCCCCCTTGCAAAAAAATAAAAATAAAAAATAAAAACCCACCCCATAGTTTAATTTTTTCTCACAGAGCTGCAAAAGCATACATGAAGCGTAGTATTTACATAAGTTTTAAAAGCACATCAAGGCAATACATATGATTAAGTAGCTAAAAGTATGGAACTACCAATGAATATCAATTTCAGGTGACTACTGTGAACTTTACCTGAGCCCTGTGTTCTCGGAAAGCAGTGATGGTTAATCCACCCCATGTGTTTTGTGTTCTGGGAAACAGGTAACTGCAAAGAACTGGCCTGTTGCATATTTTCAGATAAGGCAATCAGGAATGCTCTCCTAATTGCAACAGCCTGAATAAAATCACCTCCTTAACCAACCAGGATATTATTATATCTTTGACGCAGGAATAGTTATAACTCTGGGGAGGGAAGAGAATAGGATGAGGAAGACGATGCATGTTTAGCTGTAATGGCAACATAAAAACCTGAAATATGGCAATAAGACAGCCCTTTTTTTTCCTGCACAAAAGGATCTGTGATTCTGTGTACTTTTCTGCTTAAAATGTTTCAAAATTATTATTTTAAAGCTTGGAGTTGGAAAAGGTGATTTGTCTCAAGTCAATTAATCATTTACAATCTGCTTTCTCATATGTTAAATAGGCATGTGAATACATGCCCAACCTATTTCACTGGGTTGTAGTGTTTTTGCTAATCACCAAGTATTAGAATACTTGAATACTGTGCCAGTTAGTTCAGTCTGTGAGACCACAGTTCATATTAGGATAATGTTAAGGGTTAGATTACTGTGCAAACCTTTTAACTCTACTTTGGGGGCAAGACTACACACTCTTACTTTCCAAGAAGCTATATATATCTATGCTGTAAAGAAACTCTTTGGTTACAAGAGGAGCTAGACAAGTCTAGGTGTGATGTCTCAATCCATATCCAGTAGAACTACTGAGCAAATAACTCTAGTAACTTGATGGTGGGCTACTAAACAATCTCTGTACAAGGAGGCTGGCACACCCAATACGCACACACACACAGTTTTGTTTGGGGTCTGTAATTGTGGTTCATGTGGATGCAGACATTGTTTGTTTTTTGTTGGGGGAGGGGGTTAACACTATAAAGTGAGACATCTGAAAACATCTAATCTCATCCTCAAGTGCCCAGTTGTTTTCAAACCGCTTTATTTCAGGTGCTTCTCGAAGACTTGGTGAATACAAGGAAGTGATTCTGCTAATTTAGAACAAACCCATCGGTAGTTAAAATTTAATCTTAAAAGAAACTTGGAACCAAGCATCCAACCAAAAGAGCTAAAAGAAAAGTGCTAGACTCCGGGATAATACCCACAATATTCTCTAATCACCGGACTAAACAAAGATGCTCCTGCGCTCCTAAGGCTAAAAACAAAAATAACCTTTAAAAATGGGGGGTCTATATTCTGAACTCCAAAGGTAACTTGTAAGGTCTTCTTGATCTCCCTAAAGCCAACAATTTTGAAACGTATTTGGAAACCGCTCATCTCTAATTTTTGTTTCTCCCACTTCTCACAAGAACAAGCAAATATAACAGACTCCTCCTTCCTTGCATTTAGTTACACTTTAAGCATTTAACTTAAGCACTTAACTGAAGGTAAAATGTTTGGTCTCTTATTTTCAAACAGAAAAATAAAGTCTGTATTAGACAATAAAAAAGTATAATGTCAAATCAGAAGTCTCTAGAGCAGACGCCAGTCAGCTTCAAATCACTTTCAGAGTGACTGGTCTTAAACGTACCGTAACTCATAAGCCCCTAGATTAAAAGTCTTTTAGTATAAAGTAGCATATACATTTAAAATATTATTAAATTTTTAATAATTAAATATTAGACTTAAGATGCTGATACTTTGTAGCTTACAGCATTAAACCAAAGAAAAACCAAAAACTGAACCGTATCAAATCCCTATTACATACATACCTACAATCAAGAAAGTACCGGTTAATCTTTTCTTTTTACTAAGGGGCCGCCTGCATTTCATGAAAGTTGCAATAACTTAAGAAAACCAAAACTGTTACACAGTGAAAACAGTTTGTATGCAGATAAGCTGGTACCAACTGCTTCTAGACAGACAGATGCAATTAGAATGTAATATTTCTAGCAAAGTCTGGTAAGGCTATGCCTGCAAATCATTGACCAAAAATGGTAACAGTGTGTGCAGACTAAAGAAAATGACAAAATGTTCCATCTGATAGTTCAGTTGAGAATACGTTTGTTTTTAAATAGCTAATTAGAGGAACACAATGTAAAGGGGGAAAATACGTAAATTAAGCAAAATGTCCATCATATAGAATATACCAATGAGCACCTGTTTACTTTTTGGTGACTCTAGTATTTTAATGGTTTTTAAAGCTCTTAAATTTGCTTGTATCAGCATCCCAGCATCATGCCCACACCCTGCGCACCAAGTTCTGGCAGAGTCCAACTGTCTACAGGTCAGAAAAAAAATTCTAACCATACACGGACAGATCGGGCAGGGAAGGGTTAAAAGAGACCCTGCCAAGCTTGACAAGCACGACCAGAGTGCTGCTGGAAGCCGATTGCCAGATAAAAAGAAAAAAAAAACCAAAGAGGCTGCAAGGCCACCCCGTTCTAAATCATGCCAGTATCCTGCTCGTTAGCGATCATTCCGTGCTCTAGGGCTGTTCCATAAAAGCTTTAGCTTCCTTATTGAGATGGACAGACCTCAAGGGCTGGAACGCGCACAAGTCGCCGAGCGCCTCAGCGCTAGCTCTGGGGAACTAAACTCACGCCAACAAGGACGGTCGCCGGATTCCGACGCCCCCCGCCTCCCACTTCTCAGCTGCAGTGTGCAGCCCCCCGGATGGATTTCACAGAGCGGGTAGGGGCGCTCGACCCCGGTCAGTTGTGGCAAGGCCGGGTCTGGAGGCACCGCAGAGGCCACGCTCAGGGCGGCGGCCTCGCCCCAGCTGGGAGCTGCGCAGCGGCCGCGGATCCGCCCAGGGGCGCCAGGGCCCAGCCAGGATGGCTGGCGACGGAGGCCCGGAGACCGCCCCCCCGAGCCGGGCCGGGTCCCTCCCGGGCCTGGGGCACGGCTCACCCCCTTATCCCCGACTCCGCGGCGCCCCCGAGACCCGCTGCTCCCGGCCGCCTCAGCCCACGCCTCGGCTTCCCTCCCACTCACCATTTTCGCCGCGGCGGTCGCAGGGACGCGGGGTTGGGAGCTGGCGGGCAGCGAGTCTGCAGAGCGTCCTCTTCACAGCCGCGGGACCGAGCGCTGAGCTGACGCGGCGGCGCGAGCCTACCCCGGGGCGGGCGCGCCTCGGGACGGAACGCGGCTGCGCACGTCACGCACCTCCCGCCGTTGCTACGCAACCAGCCGGTCCGGCAACGCCCCGCCCGGCGGCTATCC